TCATGTACATTACCATGCCAATCCCTCCGAGAGTTGTCATGACAGAAATATATATATACAGTATATGTGTGTGTGTGTGTGTATAAATCCGTGTATATTTGTCATAGTTACATTGTTGTAACTAGAGAAAAAGCTAAAGGTGGCAATAGAGAAAAATTCAATAAATGATATAAAACCATCAATATACTGTTCAAAATTAAGAGAAAAATATTACTCTTTGAGGTTGCATAGATTTAGAGTTTCTAACTCTGTCATCCTGCATCATCACAGTTTTTGCTGAATAAGGCTGACAGAGAAGTTACCAGTTGAACATTGAGTTAGTTGAAGTTATTCACTGTTAATGTAATGAACTTCACCTGTGCTAACTTGAGGCGAACGGACATTACACAATCATCCTAGCCACATACATTTGGCACATAATGTTGTTAGAGTGAAGCAACAGACGTCTGCCATAATCCAATGCCAATACAAATACAAATACAATACAAATACAATCCAATGTGTATTAAACTATGTTCTGCAGTGTGAACAAAGTCAGGACCAGTTTATCTCCAAATCGCTCCAGTGAAGAGCAACGCCAGCTGCCAGAGCAAATAACTGAGCGTAGACCGTCTCATGAAACGCATTGTGACAAGATTGAGCCAGTTTCTTGCATCCCCCTGCCAGTTTGTGAGATGACCTCAAGTTTGAAAGTGCAAGGTGGGATTTAGCATTTCTCACGCAATTGAGGCAGAGTACCCAAGAGTCTAGACACTGCTGGTTAGCCATTATAATACTGCACGTCATATTTATTGGCAGCATAAAGCACAACTGATCCCTGATTTAAAACACTGTTTGTGTGCGTGTGAGTGTCTCACAAGTGGGTAAATACTGAAGTGCTCAAGTGTCAAGCATGAATGGGTCAACGAGTGTGTGTTTACATAACACTTCTTCTCATTCTTAACAAACTGAGAAGTGAGAAATAAGAGAACAAAGTGGTTTATTAGTGGTTTATTACATAATTTCATTGTTCTTTAACAAAAACAATTGTAAAAGGCCTTGTATTTGGGATAGTTGCTTATGATGATTAATAACAGCTGATGAGACTCTTAAGTGCATGCTTTTTGTGACTTTTATACATTACACAGTCCAAAACCCTGAAGTACAAGCAACAACCACAAATTCACACGTATGTATGAGCAATGCTTACTGTCTCGCTTTAAAAGCAACCGTGACCCCCTACACCAACCATTTTGCACACATTACTGACAATCTTGTCATTTTAAGCGTGTTCCTAATCCTTTGAGAACTAGCAGCCAAATGCAACAGCGTTTAAGATTGGATTTAATTGGAAATTTTTTGTTTCCAAATATGCAGTGCTTGAACAGTTCAGACAGGGGAACACACTCCACTGAATGTCAAAACCCAAATATAACATCAAGAACCTTCTGGGATGTGATGTTTCCTCATCTTATTCTGAATATGCGATTGAGAGCGTTTCCCAAAAGCATAGTAAGCCTATGTAGATTGTAGAGACCACTGGTGCCAATAGTTTCTATGATCTACTTACAATGCTTTTGGGAAATGTAGCCCTGGTTTTTGCTGAATAATGCTGATATAGATGTTACCTGTTGAACATTTGTTTAAGTTATTGATTGTTTTGTGAAGTAAATGAGGCAGAACGTTTAAGATTGATGATTGTAAGACTGCGTTCGGGTTGCCATAGTTAGAGCAAGACTGGTTTCTTGATGAGGGAGCATCTAGTGTTGCTCGATCATACAGGTTGCTCTTGGTTCGAGATGGGCAGGTGGAGGTTTATTTCGGGTCATCAGGTGCAGCAAGCTTCTCCAGAGTGGGCTCTACACCCCAGATCTCACGGGCGTACTGGGAGATGGTGCGGTCGCTGGAGAACTTGCCTGAACCGGCGATGTTGAGGATCACCTTCTTGGTCCATTCCTTAGGTTTCTGTCAATGCAAAGATAATCATGATCATCAAAGTTCTTAATTTTTGGCAATGTAACAGTTTGCACTCACCTTATACAAAGCACTGACTTTCTCTTGGCATTTGATATAGTCTTGATAGTCAGCAAACACCTTGAACCTGTGCAGTAAGAAACATATTATTCACATACATATATTTTCTATAGTAGCATATTATTTATATTAATAAAAAAATAAAAAAAAATTTTTTATGGACTTAAACCCATACAATCAGACTTTTATTGAACAGCAAATGGTCTGTAAGCTCCTTTAAGAGTTTTAAGTTATAATTAGCTACCCATGTTATATATTATATTGTTGTTGTTCAAATACAAAATAGATATTTAAAAAAATTGGTTGCAGGGTTGATGTCTTACATATCTGGTAACAATTTTGTAAGCATATTGATTATTAATGTCATTGTTTTGCTGTTCAAATAATTCCTATTGTGGTCATTGTATGTGTTTTCCATGTGCAACAGGAAAACAAT